GTAAATTGCTGTCTCGAGAGTATCAATATCTGGAACGGTGACAAGACGCTTCTGCCGTTCTGATGCTGACCAGGCCTCTTCTTATCCAATATGTGGTTCCGTGTCGCGTGTCGGTACACCCCCCGCCCTCCCACCATGGTCTCCCCCCACCCATGGTATACAACCGAAATCCTCGCGATGGTCGTCACTTTTGTCTCAAAAGTGCGAACTCACAGGGATGGGCTCCCCGAACCTGGGATCCTCGTGAGTGTGGTGACTGTTGAAGCTATGCAACTTCGTGGCGTGTCCAAAGTGGCGACACTCACCTGGATGGGCCATGGTTTCGGTCTGCGCCCAACTGCTGACCCTCAACCCTAAACCCTTTCATATCTGTATACCTAAACCCTAAACAACCCCACCACCCCCACCACACGGGGGGTGCGGGTGCAAACCCTAAACCCCAAACCCAACACCCACCACCACACCACAGCGAGGGGGGAAGTGGGTTAAAACACTCAACCTGAAACCCACAGCCCACCACCACACCACACCACAGGGGGGCAGGGGGCGGGGTGAAATGACCCAAAACTCACCACCACACCACAGAAGGACCAAGGAAATTTAACTGAAACCCACAGCCCACGACCACACCACACCACAGGGGTGGCTAAGGGGGATATTAGCATGGTGGGGGGGTTGGAGGGGGGTCGGGCGATGCTGCACCATATATACATGAATCCGTCAGCTCGACATAGCTTCCAAGTCCCTTGACCTGTTGAGAGGAGGAAATCAATGTTCGGGCGCCGCGTGAATTCCGGGCCTCGAAGTCCTTCAACTTCTTGCCCTTCTCGGCTTGGATCTTCAGTGCCAGTTGGCAACACCGGTCAAGGAAGTCACCTTGCAATTTCACCGGATTTTCTCCAGGGCTACTGTCTACAGTTAGGATCTCGGAACGAGCACTCGGGGCGGGGAGGGCAAACAGCTTGCTGCTACACACTCTGCATTTCGGGCCAAGCGATCTCAGGTTGCTGGAATCAGCATGGGATCGTCTAAATGAGCTGGTGATGAGTTGACCCGATTGTTGCACATGCCACCGCTGCAAAAGCTGCCGAGCCACCGATGGTCTTGAAGTCCTGCTCGGTGCAGCCGCGAGTGGTCATCGCGGGGGCTCCCACGCGAACTCCTGCGCACCCCAAAACAGCTCGGATTGCACTAAAAAAGAAACAGCTGAGTTCTTCTGTGTGGTTTAGCGTGTGCGTGCCGGTTCGGCTCTTCGGCGGCCTCCCGGGGCCAGAGCTGATGCATCGCCGTGCACTGCGTTTCGATTCCTTGGCGCAGACTGGCTTGCTAGCTTGAACACCCATTGGGCACACAGCCAAGCAAGCCGAGATTCAAAGTGATCGATGCCGCCTCACAGATCTTCTCCACCTGTCCGGAGTTCACCCATTGATTCTAACTGACATCTGACCATGCGGCCAGATGGAATCTCCGCTCGCTTTCGAGGGCCAACTTCGCCGAATCCTACAGAGTTCCTTGTCTGGAATGCTGGGCACTAAGTGGAGCCAGGCTCGCAGGCTTTGTGGGCACGAACAAAAAGATGCCTTCGAGCCCGTGAGTCCGTGAGGTCGCCTCAGAGGTCTACCACAAACTCACTGCTGCTATCCACGACATAAATGCGATTTTCGAGCAATTGCAGCGACAGTCGCACGTGGCAAACAATTTAGCCAAACGTTTGTAGCAGGGTAGCGGGGGGAGCAGCTTCGAATCAGGTGATACGGTCGGAATGTACTGTCGTGATCTGTTGCGGACAAGTTTCTGATGAGCTTACTTCGATCCGGTTGTGTGAGTTGAAAGCATGGAAGCTTCTGGGCTGACTGCGTGAGGAATCAGGGGCTTCACTTCAAATTGCAGCTCCATTTTAAAGTCGCTCGACGACGCCGAGCGACAGGTCCCAAAGCAGCAAGTGGTTGTCGGTGCCGTCACTCGCAAGCTTGTGCCTGGGCTGAAAGCTCTGAAGATTAGGACAAGCACACCTGAATGATTTTCCGCTCACAGGTGCAGGGCTCCGAGCATGCATGCGCTTGCATGTGCACAACGTAGCACTCAACGAGCACGTGAAAAGGGACATGCCAGTGGGCCTCCTGCACCTGCCACGGACTGCATGGCTGAAGATAGAAATATAGAAATATAGGATGGAACCAGGCCCAAACTCCTTGTATAGATGGTCTGGAGAGTGCAGAGCTTGCCATTCGAGCGACTATCAATGAATCAACAATCCTCGCATTACAGCCTTGTGACAGCAGGAAAATCCCCAACATTCACTCACCAAACCTGATGTAAGCCGCAGCATAGTCCTGAACACTTGCTGGCACGACGCCCCTTGCTCATGAGGGTGTCGGCCAACGCCTTGGCGTTGGCTTTGACCTGCTTGGCATACTCCTTGAACATGGGGCTGTCAACCTGCGTCGGGAACAAACACGAGTCACAAAGACCGAGGGAGGCTACGCAAAGCCGCCGGACCAAAAATAGCAGTGATCTTCTTGAGACAGGCTTTACAGCCCTTGACATCCAAAAGTTTGACACACCCTGAAACCCTGCACAGAAATCTGGTAGCGAAACCAGCGAAGTCTCTGCCTGCCTCCAACAGCTGAGCGGCCAAAGCGCCGATCCTCTGCAAAGCACTCTCGAAAGTCACGATCTATTGATCCTACAGTGTAGGGAACGTGCATTGCATGTCCATTTGCCCCTGAGGAGCTGATGGTTGTGGGGTCCGCCCTGCAGAGCCGGGAAGACGGCCATGTCGATTCGCTCCTCAACAGCTTCGATTGCTCTTTCCTGTGTTTGATGCGCAGATGTGGTGGAGGGGTCAGGGGTCGGCGTCTCCAATTATGTGACGGTGTCGCTGACGAAGCTTGGGACCAAGCGATCGGTCTCAGGACTAGCCAAGACCAGTGGAGGCATTGGAGGAGGAAGGAGACCCTCGGTACAAGTCTGCTGGTTTCGGCGTCGTGGTTCCCGGGCTCCTTGATGTCCGGGATCTTGTCTGTGTACTTGAAGAAGATCATGCCGGCTCGCGGACCACGCAAAGACCTGAGACTGTGCGAGTCTGCACCCAGGCCCTGGCTGAATCTGATCAGTCTACCTGGATTCCAATTTCTCAGTGTTTCAGACCGAGCCAAACTTTAGATTTGGAGTCCCGCACTCCTGAGTGCAGGGGCTCAGTCAAAAAGCTGCACGAGCTGCTTCAAGACACTTTGGCTTGATTTTGTCCATACTGCTCTCTGCTACACGTCAGGTTATGCAGCATGCAGTCACGTAATGTCACGTACCTGCGGAGTGCAGGCCAAGGGGCTTGTGGGTGGTGGTGGTCACGATGTCGCAGTGCTCGAAAGGAGTCGGGTGCTCTCCTCCACGAAAAAACATTTAATCCATTTGCGGCTAAACAAGCACTAAATCATATGCAAGGCCAGTATGAATATGTATGAATCATGCGTGACAGTGGTTCTTGCAGAACTAGCAAGCCACGACCACGCATCAATCAATAAAGAGCATTGCAGCTCACTGGCCCGCATCTCCTGTCGCAACGAGGCCGGAGATGTGAGCAATATCGGCCATCAGGATCGCACCCACCTGGCAACAGGGCTGTCAACATGCAGAGGCTGTAGAGCTTAGCTGACTACGGCCTGTAGGCGATGTGTCTGACTGTCTCGATGGGGCAGCTTGGAAGAGCATGTGATGGTGCAGCTGTTCCCCCAAGCGAGCCCAAATTTTCGCCTCGTCTGCAATCTCCCTGAACTTGCCGAAGTCGATGATACGAGGGTAGGCGGAGGCACCGCACAAGATCCTGCAGCACTTCAGCTTTTGGCGCTCTGAGTTGCCATGCAGTCTTGTCTTCACACAGCCATCATATCTAAATCTTATGGGGTGTGGACGAGTTCGGTTGATTGTGAAATCAAGCGGATGTTAACCAACATCAACCAGGGCGCATGGCGGGGCGGAAGACTAGGGCAGTCTTTCTCAGCTCATCGAAGTCGATCAACCCAGTCTCCTCACAATGCAGTCGCTCCGTCGGACAAAACGTGTCGTGCGCCGCCAGATCTGGACCTATGATGCAGCGCCGAGGCTCGGGGTGCACCCGGTAGGGCAGGGACTCGAAGTAGATGGAGGTGGCGGAGATCTTCTTCCTGGGCAGTGGGTGCCGCTAGGAGCTTTGCCCTCGCACGGCAACGCAACTCATGGGTGCGCCGAGCTGCTTGGCCGTGTAGTAGCCGTGGGTTAAGTGCCCACCGGATGGCAGGTCCAGGCCCATGACCCTGTCAAGACAAGGGGATTTGGAAGCAACAGCTCGGCTTCGATGCAAGCATATTATATCGAATTGGGGCGAAGTCCTGCCGAGTGCAGAATCGCTAGCCCTGGCTCCGGAAGGACGCCAAGCGGCCTGGCATGCGGCGGCAGCAGGGCTGTGTACACGGCGAAGTTCGCCGGGCTGCCAGAATATGGCTGGACGTTGACCTCAGCTGAAATTTCATTGCCCGGAACACCGACGGAGCGGACTCCTTTCTGCCACGTAATGTCCCCTTCCGGTGCAGACAGGACGCGCCCCATGCTTTCTCGTCCAAGCCGAATGCCTTCAAGGCGCGATCCTTGCAAAGGTTCTCCACCTTGTCGATCACCTTCCAGGATATTTACAGGCCTGCTCGAACAGTAACCACCAATAGGTTGAATGGCTACCGTGGTTCACCAGTTTCGCATGGGAGCCGTAAGTCCACCGGCAACTGTTATCAGCATCGGTATTCTCACCATCATCACCATCATCAGCAGCATGATCATCATGATCATCGTTATCATCATCATCATCATCATCATCATCATCATCATCAGCTGCGACATCACCATGATCGTGACCTGTGGTGCGAATTCAATAGCTATTATTCAGCGATATCATACGGAAGCAGGGGAGATACCGCATGCACATCTGAGGAGTGCCTTCTCGGATTGGACATGTCGACAGAAAGCCAGGCCTCGTTGCCGCCATAGTAACGGTTTCCAGGTTGGCCCTCAGAATACCTGGCTGTTCACCAAAACGCATATCCAAAGGCTATGCCACTATGCCTTTACCTCGGGTGAAAAAAATATGGACACCGGCTCCGGCGCCACAGCTGCAGATAGTGAAGTGTCTGTACGCTTGCACCCTGGCTGGGCACCGCGCTTGTTCGTGAGGGCTGAACCCAGGCACTCCATGACGGCTCGGGAAGTGAAGTTCTCTGACGCGATGAGCTCGATGCAGCCTCGGATGCCCTTGCCTAGACTAATGGCGTGCAAGCTGACCAGTATGAAGACTGCATGCGAAGGCATGCATCTGAAGGTGCAGAAGGGTGTGAAGATCCGGCATGTTGACTTATGTGCTGCTACCTCCAATCCTATACCCCTGGAGTTTGCCCGTACTCGCCGTATTCCGTACAGCATTAGCCCGGCCCTCTGTTTCGTTAGTGGAACGCTTCTGGCCCTGCTCGCCGGGCAGCGCGTCTGCCTGGCCTTCTCCTGCTGGACGAGGTCGAACCTGAAACTGCACACTCGAGTAGGACTTGCGGCAAAGCTGATGCCGTCGAAAAAAAGTCAAGACGGCGAGCCCCGAAGGGCTGGCATCCCAAACGACAATCGCAATCGCTGAATGTCTCCTCCTATCCTGATCTGAGCTGCAGCCAGGAAGCATCACGGGATCCGCCTCCTTCAGCGGCTTGTTGCCCGGGAGAGTTGGCCTGTTGGAGACCTCCGAGCATGAGACCGCTCGAATCCCACATGATGCGGGAATGTTTCTCATCGCGTGGGTAACAGAGCTGTTGCAGCCGATCAAGGACGATGCAGCTAGAACCTCAACTCGGAAGTGCGTGGCCTGCTACGGTTTGCTTCCTGAACCGGGACTTTGCAGGGTGCAGTAGGCTGGCCACGGCCCAATGCAACCTTGTGGCAAGACGTTGGCCATTAAAAGATTACCAGTCAGAACAGCCTCTTCACTTCTGAGCAGCAGCAGGGCACTTCAGCAGCGGCAGCCAGTGAAACTGGAAATCGACTCCAGCAGCTGAGCTGCTGGGCTCGATCTCCAGTCTCACTCACCGCGGCTAGCGGCCCGGCCCATGCGATGCCGTGCAGCCGAGCTCCGCACTTAGATTCACTTAGATGAGGACAACGGAACCTTCTGAGAGGATCCGCTGGAAGGCTGTTCGAGGCTCATCGTCTGTGCTGGAGGCTGAGGCTGAGCTCTCCGCTCCGAACGACAGGCGAGCCCTGCTATGCCCTGCTTTCCATGGATCACACAGTAACAGTTGACCAAAGTTTTCGGACAGGCCGCAAATAATGTCCTCCGCAGCAGATCCAACAGAGGGAATCGTGCAGGACTCGTTCGCTCGGCGAGTGTGTCCGAAATCTTCGAAGTGCACATCGCAGCAAGAGCAAAGATGGACACTAGAGTGTCAAACGCCTTCCAACCTACTCATCCGGGCCTGCGTTCCGGTGGTGATGCCCTGTGCAGAGACCATGAACTTCGCATCTGCCTCGACCTTGGGCTGCTCATGGCCTAGAGAGGCATGTCTTCGACCATGCAGCTTCCAGAGAGCAAAGTACGTGCAGTATTTAGGCATTTCGCGATGCATTGATTCGGTTGAACAAGGCTACAAGGATCTACAAGGAATAGCTTGTGCTTCCAGGTGCATTCCGGAGCAACGTACTTTCTGCATTTTCAATCTTTTATGGACCCTGGTGCGAGTCGATACCGAGAAAGTGTGGAGACACAACTGGGACTCCTGGAGCGAACCGACTCTCGGACTCTCTTTCGATGATAGGCCATCTGATAGGGGTTTAGGATTGTTTAGGGGCTTTTGGTGCTGCGCCCTCTTCGTCGGAAGTGCCCAAGCACGCGGCGGACTGGAAGGCAGCAGCCTGGGCGTCGCTGATCTTTCCCAGGCCCTTGAGGATGCCAACCACCACCTGAATGGCTGAATCTAGGAAATTTTTTGGGGGCGCAAAGGTGATACCTGCTCCTCGAGGCAGCAAAGGAGACAGGATGTGACATGCAGCTTGAACCTGACAGCAAGAACTACCTGCTATCGAAATTCTCAGGTCACTTGCCTTCTCCAGGTTCAAGGTGTAGAAATGCAGGCCCGGGGCACCACCGTCCAGGAGTTTCCTCGGGCTCCCGAAAGCCCAACAAAAGGACTTTCTCCGCTGTCGAAGAAGCTCAAGGATTTGAGGGAGTAGAAAGCGGAGACCAGAGATTCCGCTGAGGATCCCAGGTCCACATGGTTCACAAAGGCTTGCCAGGTTGAGCCCTGTTCTGCTGTATAGGTCACGCTTATGCATACCCATCATGACCACATTTACTGTAGCACCAATGCGGAGTGGTTGTGCTTCCCTTGTGCGAGAGATGTCAGCAAGATGCACGGGCTTGTGTGCCCCCCTCCCAAAGGAACGCAGATCCTGATTGGATCGTCGTTTGCTGTCGTTGTTTTGTGCTTTTCTGATGCTGGAAAGCGAAATGTCATGAGGGGTTGTGCTCGTATCGCGTGCATCTCTATCGCGTTTTTGTTGATGTATATACAGACTTGGGCGTTTGTGGCAAATTCAATCCGGTTGATCCATGCTGGCGTGCATTCTTTTGAGATTTCCTTGAGCTGATTTCGACGCATGTGCTTCATGCGAAACTGACCAAACTTTTCATGGCTGGGGGCTTCACCAGGAAGAAACGCTGTTTTACATTTCAATCAGCATGCAATCGAACACTGCCCGAAAGAGAAGTAGCGCAAGAGAGTCACAAACACCAGCGGTTGAGCGAACACTGTCAGAGAGCACTTATCGACAGGCCTGGGCTGGTATGATGAATGAAAGAAGAAGCTACCTAAATACATCACATAACAACCACAAAGCGATACCTAAGCCATCTTAAAGTGTCATGTTGGAGCGGAGGGGGTTTGGGGTGGAATGGACTGAAGTTGTGCTGGAGTCTTTTGAAGTGGGGCTTACGTGGCGAGATTCGGATTTGCGGGATTCGGAAAGCAGGGCTTGCTGCAAGCTCAACATTTGTCTTGAACATGGCTTGTAGATTTAAGGCTCGACAGGCTCACGCATGTGATTGGTGGCGTGATTTGGGAAGGTTGGGGTAGCATGTTGGTTGACAGTTGCAGTAAAGGCACATTGGGCCATGCGGGATTCTGGGGGTTGGACAGGGGAAGCGACTCTTCCAGGCCTAGGACTCTCCTGGCGACCTCGGAAAGTCAGCGCCAGCACAGAATTATGGTATATTCTGGTGCCATTTTCTGCAGCCAAGCTTCTGGCACATGGCCACGCCTTCGCGGATGCCGAACTCCTGCTTTCCCGGGAGGTCTCATGAACGCTTGTTTGACTTGAACTGGCATGATGTGCTGGTAAAGTATGTGAGGTGGAAAACAGGAAGAATCTGAGCCTCATGCTGCAAAAGAGACGGAAAACCTCTTCCCCCGGTTAGGGCTCGGAGTCCTTGAAAGCCTCGTCCGAGGTGTTTGCCTTCTCCGCACGCTCCAGGAGCCCTGCGAGCCGTCCGGGATCAACACCAGTAGCAACAACAACAGCAGCAACAGCAACAACAACAGCAGCAACGACAACAACAGCAACAACAACAGTAAGCAGCAACGACAACAACTGCTGCTGCTGCTGCTGCTGCTCCCACTACTACTACTACTACTACTACTACTACTACTACTACTGCTATTACCACTACTACTAC